GTTCTCCTTCACAGTCTGTGGTTAAAATCCAGGGTTTGTCAACCCGCTCATCCTCCTCCACCTCATGGCAATTTAACAACTTGTGAGATTTAAAAGAAAAACAACTTTATATAAATAAAGTTCATGTCCAGAGTAAAAGCATCTGTAAGCTGCTGTTTTTATTATATGTTATGATAATAATACAGCTGATGTATTTGTATTATCCTGTTGAATGCAAGACTGTAGAGGATAAATGTTCTGTTTTTATTGTTAACCCTTTTGAGCCCACAGGTGCGTCCACGCTCCGATTTGCGTAACTACTTTAAAACTTATTTGTTTTTGCAAAATAAACTGGGGGAGTTGTACTTACATATCAGTCATTCCACTTATCCCAGGTCGGGGTTTCCTTCCACTGATGGCTTTGTAAAAACCACGTAAAGACCGCTTGCAAAAACAAAAAAATTAAAACCTTTTTCCAGGTAACAAGACAATCCTAATTACCAAATCTAATTTTGGGTTGTCTGCCTGCATCCCAAATTTAACTAAAGTTACCGTCAAACGTAGTAACAGAAGACTCTGGACTGTGGCCAGCTCCACGTGTCAATCCAAAAGGAGCGCAGCGATTCATAATAGAAAAACAAGTGATCCAAACTTTCAGTGTTATTTTCACAGAATGTACATGTGTTCACATCCAGGTTAAATTTCAGTCTTAGGAATTCATTGGTTGGATAAATCTAATTTTTGACTTTAAAATTAACCTCTTTTGTTTTAGGGGGAAGGGGAAGTGAAATATGCTATCTCTGTGTTGCCTTAACCTTCATGGCCTCAAATTCTTTAGAATATAATTTCTTTTAACCGGGTTAGGATAGATTTAATTTATTAACATATTTCTGATCGCCTTGTTTGTAAACCTGCTGTCAACAAAGTCAGCACCGGCTATGCAGAGCGGCGTCAGTCCAGGAGAAATTTTAGAGTGCACAATATCTTCTTTAATCATTGATCTCAAAGGGACTGGGATGGCTGTAGCTAGTGTATTATAACTCGTAGGGACACTCATGCAGAGCTAGTATCTCACATGTTTTTATATTCAGCTGTTGACCTGAAGCTTTGGAGAAGTGGTTGATCACCTGTAAGGCTAAAGGAATCTGGTCCAATCTGGTATCATCTGCCAGCTGACTTATTATTATTAGTTGACCCATACTATTTAACCCGTCAGTGTGACTGTTTTTAATCTGAATAGATAAGAGCTCAGCATGATAAACAGAAGTGGTGAGCTGCTGCGGCCCTGCCTTATTCCTCTAGTAACCTCAAACCTCTGACAGGTGCCATGTTCCAGCAAAACAGAGCTGTTGATAGAATTATAGCATCCCTTTCACACTGATAAATTCTTCTCCACAACCAAAAGACTGCAGGGTTTTTAATATGAACTTATGTTCAATTGACTCAAATACTTTTTTAAAAACCTCAAAACAGGATGTATCCCCTCTCTTGGATTATGTCACTGTAATCAAGGAGAAAAGCAGCCTAATATTATCAATTAGTCTTCCTTTGAAAAAACCTGACTGTCTTTCACTAATTATGTTTGAGATGCCTTTCTTCAGCCTCTCAGCTACAGCCCCTAACAGGATCTTATAATCAGTGTTTAGTAAGGTGATTGTCTTAAATTGTCTAAAAGTCTTCTGTTTTTACCAGAATCTGTGTAATTAACTCTTGTTTCATACTTGGCATCAGTTCTTTCTTTTCTATAGCTCCTTTTAACGCACCAAATGGCAAGGTTCTTAAGTCCTTCCAGAAGAACTGATAAAAATTAGCAGTGAGTCCATCTGTCCCTGGAGACTTGTTTAAGGCCATTTTAATGACCACTGAATCCAATTCCTCAGTTGTAAGCTCAGAGTCACACAAATATTTAAATGGTTTGTCAATATGTCGATACACGGCACGAGACTAAATCTTATTACAGAACCCGTCAGCATCAGCTGAATATTCTGGGACAACTTGGAATAGAAAGTAAAGACTTCAATCTCTCTGAAATCTTTGCATTCAGTCCCATTTATCAGTAGGCTTGTAATTACATTTCTCTGATGTCTACTTTTCTCCAGCTTACTAAAATATGATGATTTTTTTTCACCTGCCTCAGTCCATTTGACTCTCAATCTAAAAAGCAACCTGGGCCTCCTCAAGGCAAAGATCATCTAATTTAGTCTGTACCTCCATCAGTTTATTTTTCTCCTGCATGTTCCGTTTTTCTTTACTACAACACTGAGCTATTTCCCAAAGTAAATTACTTTCATAGTCGTGTTTTTTCCCATTTAGTTCTTTGCAGAATTTTATAGTAAATTCTCTGATCCTGAATTTAACAAATATCTTCATTAGGTTTAAACCACAGATAACTCTTAACTCCAGGATTCACATGTCTCTAAATGTCTATGAAATTATTATCACAAGCAAAGTTCACAGCAATGTTATTCTGCTGCCTCCTTCCTAAGCGAGGAAGCCATCTGTCCATCCATTCATCTGGTCTCATGTTCCAGTCTCCTCATACTACAGTATAATCTGTGGGGTACATAACTTTAAACTCTCAAATCACATTTGTTAAGTTTTCCAATAGACTTTTGACCTCATTATTGTGACTATAATGATTTTTGACAATTAGAAATAAACCTTTACTCTTCAAAACTATTTTTGGGTGATGTCTATGCTTTTCTGTGTAGTTCCTGATGCTCAGAACTTAAACTGCACTGTTTGAAATGGTTTATTTTGCTGCACATGCTGATTTTTTGCAAATTGTGCACAATAATATTTATTTTCATTTTTGCTGCAGTTTACAAAAATTAGTGTATCTCGAAAATGAAACTATGAAGACACTCAAAATAAATTTCCTGTGGTTGGAAATTTTGTGCAACTTGTTTTGAGGGATAAACCTCCAAAATTTCTGTAACAAAAATAATCTGTAAAAACAACATAAAAATAACAATTTTCATTTTCTTTGTAGTTTATTGCGTTTTTTAGAATTTTATGTAGTTACTATGGACTTAATGTATACATATTATAAAAAGTTAGGATAGAGCGGTTGTATTGATGAATAGGAACTTGAAATGCTCTAAAAAAATACAGCATGTAAAAATGCAAAGGCTCTGGTGGACTTGTTCTCAGGGCGGCTGAAGTTAAACAGGACACAACTGGTGCGTTTGTTGAGGAGACTGTTGTAAGTTATGCACTCTTAGAACAGACGTGTCAGATTTGACACAACAAGCTTGGTTTTAAAATGTTAAAATAAATGCTTATTATTTTAACACGTCCATTAAACATGTGTGGATTATGATGACTTGTCTTTCCACACACAGTGAATGAATGGTTAAAGCAGCAGTGGGACAGTCACAGTAAAAGCTGCAGGTAACTGATGATAAATAAAGTGCAGGCTCAGTTCTCCAGGTAGAGGAAAATGGTTTGAAACTCTTGTTGCAGTTTCAAGATGGAGTTTGTTTCAATGGCTTTTTTTCCAGCTTTTATAATATTATATTTAGTTTTTGTCAAGCTGTAAAATAAAGAAGAAGAAACCAAAACTAAAGACACTTCCTCTAGTTTTATATTTAACTTTAAGTGCATATTATTATTTTGGGTAGTTTCCAGTTTTTTAAAATTCAGTTTAAATTCTGTTGCACAATTGTTTAGTTTTGTTTTAGGTCATTATGATAAAACCTGAACAAACTAAAGATGGTGAATATATTTTATTAAATACGACTGTTTAATTAAAAATATTCACTCTTTTGCCCGACAGTGACTCAGTGCTTTATTAAGCCTGCAGTCACAGTGTGTGTGTAAGAGTGTGAAACAGATCAGTGGGCGTCCTGTGAAGCTTTGAGCCACCTGAGCGACAGGTAAACCACGGACGACCTCGCAGGCCGACAGCTGGCACAACTGACAGCGAGCTGCTGTGGGAAGCAAACCAAACCCTCGTTCACAGAGCTGCTCTTCTTCTTCTCTGCCAACAGTCAGTGCAGACTGTGGGGACATTTTTATAGTATTTATTCACTTAGAGATCAGAAACATTAGAGAACGTTGTAGTTTTAATTCAGGGTGATAAATCTTATTTTCCTTCAACACCAGTGACGTGTCGAGCACCAAAGTGCCTCATCGTCAGACTGTGTTTGAAAACTGGGTTTGATTTTTCTCCAGTTTGAAGAAACTTTGTGATTGTTGAAGATGAATATGATGAAATTTGATTCTTAAGGTTGAAGAATAAGTTATTTGAGGATAATGTTAAGTTAAATGCACTGAACGGGTTTATTAATGAGGTTTCATTTTAGTCATGTTTATACTTTGCAGGTTCATTTTATATTCAGTGTTTTTCATTCTGACTAATTCAGAAAGTATTTTTGGAAGAACACATCAGGTGAAGCATTTGTGATGCTCAAATCTCTGTGTTGGTTCAGTTGTTTGACCAGTTTGTAGCTTTTCTGCAACACTTTAAGGTAAACATTTTTTCAGAAATCAGACACCAGGCAAGTATGTGCAGACATGTGCTGCTCTCAGATGTTTGGAATCACTTGTAAAGAATTTTTCTTACTTTAATATTTTCTCTGAAGACAGCACACTGAGAAGTTTCTTTGGCTGCTTTAGACATGAAAGATTAATGAACTGACATCAGGCTGCTTTTGTGTCTCTTGTTTGGGGAAATAATCCAGATTAAATTTGCATTTAATCACCATTTCATTGGATTTTGATTGAAAATTAAAAATAACAGAAATGTCCCTGAAATGTTTGTAATTTGTAAAAGTTCTCTGCACATTAAAAACCTGTCAGACTTTCATTTTTAGTGATGAGCTTATTGCTGTGACTGCAGTATTGAAGTCTGAACTGAAGTTTACACCTAAGCCTACAAAGTGCATTTAGCAGTTTCATATTCTCAAACATTTTGTTTTTAATTTATGCTTCAGCAGTTTCAGACTGGCACTATAAGCAGTGAGACCTCAACAAACACACCTGTAAACATGCTCCAGCTGTGACTTTGGGGCAGAAACAAGGGGCTCTGCTCTCTGAATGATCAGAGCAGCTACAAGTGTGTAAACTTGGTTAAACTCCCATCAGCTTCAGCTAAACTGTGGAAATAACGTTTATATTTTTGCCAGAAATGTTTCAATAAGAAATTTCATTTCATAAACAAAGAAGACGCTAACAGAACATCAGCAAGACTTCAATTCCAAAATATATTCTTTGAGTTACAGTGATTGACTCCGTTTCATCCAGACTCAAACATCTGAAACTGAAGAGCTTTACTGCAGAATAAAACCAAACCTTCAGTTACGTGTGAAGTCAGCACAAAAACATCCAGTTTACGGTTTTTGTCTTGTGAATGACCTGAATTATTAAACTTGTGCACAGCAGGTTTGCAGTGAAACTCTTCACATGTTAAACTTCATTTTATTACATTTGCACTTCATAAAAAGATGAAGATGAACGGCATCCAACAGAACATCATCAGCGTAGAATGGCACGTGGGTTTGGAGGAAAAGGAAAAATGTGAGGGTGTGATGGTTTGCAGTGTTATCTTGTGCATGTTTAGTATTTTACCTAGTAGTGTTTCCACGTGTGGTGCAAAAGAGAGAAACAGAAGAACAGAAACAGTAAAAAAAATAACTTCCCACAGAAATAAACGACATTACAGAGAGACGAAGTGGAAGTCCTGCACAGACTCTGAGAGGAGATCAGAAAAAGTGTTGATTTGCGTTTTACAGGCTGCTCTGCACCAGCTGAGTGAACAACAAGGTTTTCCAGAAGCCAGGGGGAGAACAACCTACCTGCTCTTTAGCTCATTAACTGCTATCACACTGCCAGCAGCTGTTATTAAAAACTACACCGTCGCATTTTCATCGCTTCATTTATTCGTCTACATTTGAACATCTTTCTGTCTTTAAATGCAAAAAAAAACAAGATTCACGTCTCTGCACCAGCCAACCTGAATAACCCTGACGTGTCCCAGCAGTTAGTTTCATCTTAAACATTTGCTTTCGTTTGCAGCATTATTTTATCATTTTGCTTTTTTAATTGGCCAAACGATCACAGGAAGACCGATCTGATAACTTCTGATACTTTCTTCTGACACGTTTGGGATCCTCCACAGCTGACTGTGTATTAGGAGCAGCTGAGAGTCACATGATGACACATGACTGGAGGAGCAGGAGCAAATATGAGATTAAATAGCTGTTAACAGCTTAGTTTTAGTTTAGTGTAATTTTAGTGTTTAAAGGTGTCGTTATATCAGTACAGAAGCAGATAATCAGCCTTTTAATGCTACTGAATAACTAAATAAATAAATACGACCCACAACCTTCAAGGCTCAAAGGAAGTAAAGAGTCTACAGAAATCAACATGTTACTGCTGACACAGCCAACCAATCTCATGCAATTTTGACTGATTAAGCCTGAACTTTTAAATGCTGAATATTGTCAGTTATTCGGGTCGCTGATCTTTGTCTGCGTTTTAAATCTTCAGAAACCTTCACGCACATCTAAAAAATCTTGTTTTTCTTCTGAGTCTAAATGATCCCTCTGAACCTTCCTCCTGACCTCCTTCATTCTTCTGCAAACCTTTCTGCTCCTTCTGTTAGATTCTGTGTTTCTTTATCTACTCAAACAGCAGCACAGTTTACTGTCAGAGAAGAACAACTGTGATGTGGACTCCACAGACTGGACTTCTGCAGGTTTTTTTCAGAAACGTGGAGGATTTACTTCAGAGAGACGTGAGGAGATGAACTTGTTCGGCAGAAAGGCAGACGTGCTGCTCTCAGGAAGACATGGAGACAGAAACAATGATCAATAAGAGGTGTCAGGCAGCAGACGCTGCTGGGAAACAGTCAGATTAATTGGCAGGTCATCAGACTCTGACGAGGAAGTCGATGTTAAGCGAGGCAGGAATGTGCAGCATCTCCAGGCTGAGGGCAGACGGCGAGTAAGGGAAGAGGACCGGGAAAGTGTGTTTGGTATCCAAAAGAAGCTGAGGAGGGTCATTCCTCTCCTGAAGGCGATTCTGGACACACAGAGACAGAGAGAAGTCAAACATGAGGCTGACATCACTGGTCCCGTAGAGGCAAAGTATTCATACAAAAAACCCAAAAAGAACAGACATCAGAAACCTGTTTATATTTCATGCTTTTGCTGTGTAATGTTGCACACAGCTGAAATGACTGAATGCAGACAAACAGAAACCTTCTAGTTTCTGGAGGCCGTGGCTCCTGCTTACTTTCCTGCTCCAGGACAGTTTGTGACCTGGATTCATGAACTTTGTTCTACTACTGCCGTGTTACCGGCAGCAGTAGAACCAAGGCAGCTGAAAGCAATTCAGCTGTTTATAGTTGTGCAACCTTTAACCTCCTAAGACCGAACTCTTTCATGGCATGATTTTTAATTTCTCTTTGTCATTTTGGCTGATTGGGACCTGATGAAAAGTAAAAACAAAGAATTACCAGATTTATTTATTTATTTATACCAGATTTTTGTTTCTGAGAAAAATGAGATAGAACAGTGGCAGTATAATGTCCTCATAAGTGGATATCAGGACCTTGTGGAGCAAGATTTAGTATTTTGGTCTAGACAACCCAAAATGTGCAGTCCACGTATGTGGACGCCCGGTCCTAGGAGGTTAAATTTGCTCTTAACGCCAAACAGTTTCAGTTTATCCGAAGACAGCAACATGGTTTTTCGCAGAATTTACATTATTGGATATGTTTACGCATGTATGTATGTTACGTATGTTTACACTTGCCTCATCAGACCGACCGTGGGCATTTTATAGGATTCGTGTAAGATATCAGATTTTCCTGAAAACTGCTGGGAGCTCCTGGTTTTGTTTAGCAATGCAGGGTTTTCCCAAATATCTACATTGGATGTGGGCAGTACAAAGTTAAAGAGACACTTTGGTGGTGTTTAAAAAAAAAAAGGCTCTGTATGAGCACCTCTGCTTTTACTTCTGTTTTCTACCAAAGTGAACTATTTCCAAAGCAGAATAAGAAGCACAGAAGCAAAAATAATTCTGCAGTTCTGTTTTTAAATGACCTGATTGGTTCAGATCTTCAGATTTGGCACCAGCAGCATGAGGTGTTAAATTTTCTAACATCACATCTGTAAACGGATCTGACATTCAGATTCCACCTTTTATGCTTCAAAATTTTACATTTGTTCTTTTCATGTCCCAGAGGAATCCTCCCTCTGGTGTTTGGTAGAGGTATAAGCAGCTAAACCATCTGTGTGATTCACACCTGAATGTTTCTGATGAAGGACACAGTGACTCGTTCTTCAAACTCGTTCAGAGGCGTGTAGAGGTTCAGGATTTTCACGATCTGCAGGAGACAGCAGGTTAACATCCTGTCATTATCTGATCGGGAGTGTTATCGATCGCCTGCTCGGGTTCAGATGAGCTGAGCGTACCTGCTGCATGGTGAGCGCGGTGCACAGCGCACAGATGGCCTCGGCGTCCTGCGACGTTTTCTTCTTGACCTGCAGCAGCTGTGCAGCCTGAATGATCGGCTCCAGAGTAGCTGCAGCTTTACTCTGATACAAGTTATTTCCTCTGAGCCACTCCTCCAACTGACTGGTGTTGTACCTGTGTACACACACACACACACACACACACACACACACACACAAAATTCAAAGTGAGGGTTGGGGTTGATGGGAGACCCACAGAGTTCAGGCATACAAGGTTTTGGCGATGTGACGTTAAAGCCAACCTCCATCTCTCTGTGCGATCTTTCTCCTGAATCTGAACACTAACAACAAACCAGCACATTATGTAACAAGTTATGGTCAATGCTCTTCTTCTACCAGTGCTTCTTTGATTTCTTGTTCTTTCTTGTCGCCCCAGAAAAATCCAGATTATTATTGTAATAATTCCACTTCTTAAGTTTTTTAAATTATTATTTTGGACAGAGCGCAACCTAAAACTCAATTTAAGCTTTCATGATATGAATACAATAGAAAATCATCATAAACTTGATGATGTTCTATTCCAGCCTTTCTATTCAACTGACAGTCATGTTGGATTGAGGTGATGTGTTTTTGTGTACTGCATGAAAAAGCCAAAAAGGGCAGCCTGTAGTGATGGAACAGCTGGCTGAGCTCAGCGAGCTGTGAGTTAACTTGTGACCTGTTTGGGATTATTGTTAGGTTTGTTGATAAAAATGAGTCATTAACCACAGCTGAAGCTATCTGCACCATTCATCTCTAGAACTTGTAACTAACGAGGGAAGAACTTCAAAGACGAACTGAGCTCACTGACGTTTTTCTTTAGTTCATTTAACTTGCAAAGAAATTTTCACTGGATTCTAATTCAATGAAATACCTGCAATATAAAGTATAAAGACAAAATTATAAAATATATATGGTACATAGTTCACAGATTTTAGTAAATTTGTTTTGCATTGTAATGGAGTACAAACTATAAAGTTGAGCTTGTGGGTGTCGGCTGCAGGTTTAGTACCTGAGCTGCATGCCGGTGCTCCAGGAGCAGACGTCCTTGCGCAGCAACAGGTTGTTAAGGGTAACAGCGTTGATGCAGTGGAAGAGCTGCCGGACCGCCTGACCTATGATCTCAGGGTCCAGACCGTGGTCTCGCATGATGTTGTGGAACTGCCCCAGCTGCTTGATCAGGGCCTGCAGGGTGTAGCTGGTGGGGCCGTCGGCGTCCATGTCCATGCTGGACGAACGGTTCCTGTAGCCCATCGGCTTCACGCCTGCCAGGCTGGGGATGCTCTCGCTCTCCAACATGGCCGACACTGGATGGCAAAACAGAAACCAGAAAAGGAGTTCAGACATACAAAGAAGAACGTTTATAGAACAGATGGGAAGGTACAGACCTACACCAGTTACACAGCAACAAAATGATCTAGAAAAACACACAGGATGGTGCTATACAGACTTAGTTCCTCCAACGCTTGTTGTTTTGTTCTCCAGTCACTTTGTGGTTTTGGCTTTTCTCCATTTAGACTCCAGAGTTTTCAGATCTTCAATGAGGTTGCAGCTCCAGGTATGTTGAGGCAGTCTTGAGCAGCACTTTGCTGCCGAAGTTGCTCACTTTGATCTAAACCATGAATCCATGTTTGCTGTTAGCTACTTCAATTCAGTTTTACTTTGCTCACTCCAAGAACATCCAGCTGATTGTGGTTGAATTCCTGCAGCAGCTCAGAGACTCTTTTGCTTTGGTGGAGGGTATGCATTCGCCCAAAAAAAAAAAAACCCTTCAAAACTCATCTTTCTTCAAGCTCTGGACCGTGTCTTAGGTTTAGTCTTCGATTTGACCCTAACTCATCTGTCCACTGATAACCGTCCTGCAGCTCTGAGGGGATTTTTTTAGCCTGCCTTTACTCTGTTCGACTTAAAGACTTCTGGTAGATAAAAATACCTTTAATAACGATGAAGTTCACACTGACCACAGCTCTGTGGTTGCTGTGGTAACCACTGTGCACAGTCCAATAGCAGAAAGTCACATGATGACTCATATGGGGACGAAATGAGTCAGCTGCTACCTCAGAGTGACGTAGTTTCTGAAAAAAATTCCCCAAACTCAACAAAAACTCAAACCAACACAAAACAGGAGAAGAGTGGGACTAGAAGATTTCACCATGGGGTTGTTGTGATAACCTGCTTCTTCCTCATGTTATGACACTTGACCAAACACTACAAATGACCGCATTTATCATTTAGTTTAGCATCTAAATAATGCTTCGGTTCCGTTTCGTGCTGCTCTCATTACACAATGATGGTTTTGCTGGACGGTAAACCCCATTTTATTTTTCTGTATAATTGTAACAGGACTTCTTGGGCGGCCCTCAGCTCCTTTGATGATGCGGTTACAGCAGTGAGTTAAAATAAGTAGTTCAGCTCTGAATTGAGAACACAGAAATGTTTCCTTGGACAGAATTCGGTTTGGTTGCACTATCAACCTTTGCATTAATGTTTTGGCTGACAGCAGATGAAACAGCAGCTACTAGTGTGGCTCATATCTAAAATGTCACTGCAACAGAGAGCAATGATCTGTGAAAGCCAAACATCTTTGACAGCCACTCACTGACACGCTGCATGTTTTAGAAGACTGAAAGTGATGTCTGCAGATTCGGGTTGTGGTTAAGTCACTGAGTTTTTCATATTTAACAACAGAGATGAGGCTTAATGACACAGCTGTCCTTGTCATCATTTTATCCTGTTGGCTCCAGAAGTCTTTATTTTCACTTCTTTTTCATTTACCACCAGACTTCTGTCCATCTGGTTTAAACACACTAACGGATGGTTTTGTCAGCTGTTTTCAGCACAAACATGTTTGTGTTTCTCATAAAGGGACTCGGGAGGAAAGTACCTCTTTCCCCACAAATGACTCTATACCCACTTCTGTCGGTATGTCAAGCAGCTGACTTTCTCAAGGAACAGAGTTACATCACCTGAACACACAGTCAGCAAAGTCCAGCATGTTTTCATTTTGTCAACGACTCACACAGAAATTAAAATGCAATTTTCCCTTTTAAACGTGCACAATTTTACAACCCTGGTGAAAGAAAAAAAAAGGTCAAACAATATATTACTAGCTTCCACATCCTTAAAGAAAACAAACGCAGGGTTTTCAGATTAAAGATTAAAATTCTCACAGACAGGTTAAACATCCCAAACATGTAGTAGAAAAATGTGAAATAACTCTTCAAGAATTTTGTAAATGAATCTGCTGCAACAGGAGAAAGGCCATATCTCGAACAGTTTCTAATCTCTTTCTACTGGCTGGATATTTATCCTTCTAGAAATCTGACTGATGAATGCAACTCATATTGTCCAGGACATTTGACCATCCAGCAAGAGAGGAGCTTTGCAAAGTTTTCTATAAGGTCCCGAGCTCTTTATTTTTAACTATGCTGAAATAACACACCAAGCTGAACGAGAGGCACCAATTAGAAAACCACATAAATATTTCTTTAAGCAAAATATAACCAATGCATCATGTGCATTTATGCATCTTGCAATTAAATGCATCAAACCATAAAATTCTCCTTTTTGGTGTTTCAGGCAAACTCACCGATCATGGGTTGAATGATGCCTTCTGCCACTTTGATGAGTTGCTGGTAGATCTGGATGGAGAGATCGCTCAACACCTGTCTGTACTCAGCCAGGTCAAAGTTCTTCAGACAGTGCTCGTTCTGTTTGGACGTGTTCTGTGTCATAAATGCCTGATGAAGAAGATGTCAGGATGTGAGAGTGGTTAATCGCTGCTTCTGTCTGCTCATTCATTACAGATATCGATCAGGTCCTCACCTCCTCACCGCTGTATTGCTTCAGACAGTGAAGCAGTCGGCTGGTGTTGGCCAACCAGAAGGATGTCATCTCAAAGTCATCGTTGTTCTTCTGCAGAATGAATAAAAGGACTTTCAAAATAAAAGAACCTGTGTGTGGAATCAGACAGGTGGGCTGTGTGTGCAGTAGCACCAACCTTGAGGACCTTCTTGATTGCGTTGATGGTGGAGGTAAGCAGAGACTCCACCTTCTGGTCATCATTGATGTAGTCAGCGTGGCGGATGCACATGAAGAGGATGTAAGCTGGCAGACAGGGCACTGTACCAGACACGTTGTTGGGGCGGATGTCTGAAATCACATGCAATGGGTGAAACAACTCTGGTTTTATTATCCTGAGGACATGCATCCTGCTGTTCGTCTTGTCATCACATATTTTCAACTTCACCTCCAGCTCAACTTTAGTGACAGTAAAGCCGTCACTGTGAGGGACGTTGGGGAGCTACAGAAACAGCTGGAAACCAGACAGCTTCTTGTGTTGCTTTTTCTAACTACCAAATGCCCGATTTAATAAATATTTAAGTTAGAATATTTGTTCAGAGCTTCCGTTCTAACTTCTGAAAGCTGTGGGAGAAATCTTATCCAGCATGCGGTTTGAACAAACGCAGTCTGAGGTGGATGGGAATACCTCACCCACAATATGAAACCTCATGTAAGATAGAAAAACCACATGAAGCTGGGGCGATGTTCTTACCATTGATCAGGGTCTTGACCAGCAGCGCCTCGTTCTCCTTGTTGTACTCCAGCATCCCCTCAAAGTCCTTCTCCTTCCTCTGGACGGTCACCTGGCGTATCAGCTCAGGTTTGGACCTGCTGCTCTGAGCTGCTGCTTGAGCAGCTGAAAAACAGACACATGGACACACACACACACTTAGCCTCTGACCATCAGGTGCAGCTCTACAGAGCAGCTTCCTGTTCTCCTGTTACCTTCCAGCTCCTGGACCTTCTTCATGTAGATCTTGAGCTGCTTCTTCAGCTTCCTCTCGTTCTTCTCCAGCTTCTCCACCAGCTCTTTGAGATCCTGCAGGAAAACACAGAGCAGCGTCAGAAAACGGAAAACAGAAAACAGGAATCAGGAAGGGAGTCCGGCAGCAGCGGCTGCTGCAGTATTGCTCACCAGGTTGTCATTGGTGAGCCGCGTGATCTCCTGCTGGACGCTGTACTCCACCTGAGCCTCTGGAGACAGAGACATCATGTAGCTGAGCTTTTCCTGCTTATCCTCGATGTCACCCTTCAGCAGCTCGATCTGAGTGTGAAGGGCCTCCAGCTCGTCTTTGTGCTGCCTGGACTGAGTCTGCAGCTGAGCCTCCAGCAGCCTGGCAGGACCGGGAGGACCAGAGTATTACTGACAGACACCGAAAACAACAAAACACCAAAACAAACAAAAAAACAAACAAAAACACAGCAAAACACCGCACAGACAGATCAGTGGTGATACAGCCAATGTGTGAAACATCCTCTGAGGGCTAAGACACATTTTCATTAACCTTCCCATGAAGTAACATCACACTGAAGGTTCATGATGAAGGTTTACTTTGTTTGTTTTATTTTAGAAGTAATAATTTTATGATTTTTGCTCTAAAAGTTGCTGAGTCAGCACTGACACGTGAATGTGTGACTCACTGAGTTAATACTGATGTTTGTGTATTTTAAATTAATGGTGTCCTCTTCTTCAGGCTGCATAAATATTAAACTGCATATGATTCATCAGCAACTCTCAAACATATAAAGAGAATATTGAGGATAATCGTCGCCTTAAGCTGAACCATCACAGCTGCTTTCTGGGCTCATAAACAAACTTCAAATCCAGATTGAGTTCACATGGCGGATTTTACTTAGGAGCTGAGAGCATCCTCATATTTCACACACTGGGTGTAGAAGCGGCTCTTCACGAACAGACTGAGGTCCAGAACATTACAGAGATGATTTTTTTGAAATGAAAGGAAGCAGAGGAAATGAGCAAACAGAAACCTGGCCACTTGTTTGAGGCCCTGGTAAGCCAAGCCCAGCTCTCCATCTTCATTCAGGTAACACCAGTCCTGATGGTTACTGGTGTCCAGCAGCAGCAGGCAGAGGACACAGAGAAGCAGATAAAAGCAGCATGTGAGGAGCAACGCAGCGAACAGAGAGGAGGGAGAGCAGCAGAAAGGTTAGTCGCTACATAAACAAGAGAAAAACCACAACTTCAGCTGCTGCCACTAAAACACTGTTAGAGCTACACTCGTTATTTGTGATGATCACAGCCCTGTGTTTTGGTGGATCCTATGAAAAAGGAACGGCACAAAGGTGTTTTATTTTAACCCAAATCACAATCACTTCTGTGGGACTGATTTTGGGGTTTTTTTGCACTTTGAAAATGTAACACGTGCACACGAGGAGATATCAGACCAAAGACTGAAATCAAAAATGGGGAAATTCATTTCTAGAAACACAACTGAACAGATTTGATGTGACTAAGCGAGATGAAGTGCAGTGAGACGGTGCTGGTTCAGGAGTGTCTATGATGTCTTCTGAAGCTACATTTCTCCTATATTGGCTTCCCCTCATTGGCTCCCTGTTTAATCCAAAACTCAATATTGCTCACATACAAGGTTTTAAATAATCAGGCCCCATCTTATCTTAATGACCTTGTAGTACCATTAGAGCACCTCGCTCTCACACTGCAGGCTTACTTGTTGTTGCTAGAGTATTTAACAGTTTTCCTCTTCAATGGAACCAACTACCATAGAAGAGCTCAGATCAGCAGTGATCATGCTCGACATGAAGTCAGATCAGTTTTGTTTTCTCGGAGTTTGTGAAATTTCAAGTTGTCAGAACAACCGTCCTTCTAGAGACAGCAGGGGAGCTGGATGTGGCCCAGATGTGCAGAAGGAGCCGAATTTAAACCAGCTGTTGGTTATTTTGTTTGTTGTCTTCTTTTGTTTGTTTCTGTTTTGTGGTTTTGTTTCTGTGTTCAGAGGTAAGGAGCTACCCGCTGATCGTTATGTAGGTTTGGGAAAAGCCTCAAAGTCTTGTGAGACTCTCAAACTGGACATTAAAAATGAGTAGAGACTGAAAATGTGTGAAGGAAACAGAAATGTGATCTGTTGAAGCTTCAGCGCAGCTGACAGAAGTGAATGACACGAAGTCTGCGACAGACAGTCCTCGTGTCCGGCAATCTGTCGCTCTGAAATCTGATTTAAAGTCTCAGAAAGTTTCAATTAGCAGGATCATTCATTAGAGAAGAAAAGAAGGATTTTTTAATCAAATACTTGAGAACAGCCAGAGCAAAGTACAAAGAGTGCATTCAAAGCCTTTTGTGTCAACAACTAAAGAGGAGATCAGCTGACGTGACCTGTACGGAGGATCTCTTCTGCCCAAATACCTCACTGTGGTAAAGCTGGCTGGTTTCGGTTCTTTAGTCACTTACTTTTTGGACTCACACAGTCCATGGTAAGCTTTGAGCGCCTCCTCTTTGTCCACAGGCTCTTTGCTGTTGTTCACCACAGGAGTAGAATCAGTTTCCTGCTCAGACACAGAAAGAGCATGTCACATCACCAAACAACAGCTCACTGACCTCATTTTAATATCACTCTAACACACAGACAGTTGACACATGAACACGATAAATTCATATACATCCTCAGCCCTCTGACTCATCCACTGCACTGCAGACTGTGCGTTCATCTGAAAGCAGTGGCAGCAGGTGAAAGACTTCATCAAGAAAAATGTCTAAAGCAGAATCCAGCCCGTTGCTGCAGCCTCGTGGGAAGTGTTCTCTCACATTTTCAATCACTGAGCCAACTGTTACTGAGCCTAATGATCGGTAATATTATAACATAACCTCACTTCATAAATAAAAGTCTTAAAATCCCCCCTTTGAGCTGAAACTCCATTTTCTGTTGGAATCGGGCTGGACAGCGCTTCCCATCGAACCTTGAGGCCGCAAAGCCTGTTTATACTCATGTCTGTATGTGGAAGTAGGTCGAACAGTGGCAGTGAGTACACCGCTGTGCAATATGAGTTAAATATCAAATGATTCAATATTGCATCACTTTGCAGTGACCTCATTACTTTTGAACAAGGAGGAAATAAGCAGATTTCCACCTCTGTGAAGCTGAAAATCCTCTTCTATTACTACCTAAGGGCAAACCACAAGGTTTGTCTTTGTTGTAATAGTAATAATAAAGATAATGATAGTTTCCTTTAAAAGAACCTTCTGTCACAAAAATCGTATTCTTTGACAAGAGATGACCGTGTATGAGAGCTGTAATCACAAACAGAAACACCACAGAAAGAAATTGTCTTGGCTGCCTTTTAAAATGCTTAAACTGACCTCGCAGCCAAAGCTTATTTCACTTTTCTAGACATGCAGACACGCTGCCAACACAAAGCTGAGCTTCTACACTGATAATGTGTTTTACCAGAGAGAACACGTGAAGCTTTGCTCCACCTATAGTGTGTGGGGTAGCATGATGAATAACAAATACAAATCTGGCCTCCTCATAAGGATTAAAACTTTGTTAATGCGATACCGTTGTGTTCAGGCTCAGGATATTCTCGTTCTTCTCCTGCAGCTGGGCCGCGCTCACAATCTGCGTCCTGAGGATGAGGACTTCCTCCTTGCGAGCATCCAACTCCTCATTGGCTGATTTAAGCTGGCTCAGCAGCAGGTTGTAGCTGTCCTGTAGCTCATTGGATGAGCTGTTCTGTGAGGCTCGCTCAGCGACCGTCTTCCTCAGCTCATTCAAGTCGTTCTTCAGTTTCTTGTTCTCTGATTCCAGCTCTTGCCTCTGCAGAGACACAAAGTTCACCGTTTAAGTTTTAGATGTTGATTTGTTACACACTAGCTTCATCTGAAAGGACAGAGAAGAAGTCCTGATGCCATGAAATGGTTTCAGTTTTGTACCTTGAGATTATTGTAGGCCAGATCAGCCGTCTCCTGCTCAGAAGTGGAGGGCCTTGACTGAGAGCCCTAAAATGAAGGAAGCACAAAGAAAAATATCAGAACCTGATTCATTTCCTGCAGATAAAAACTCAGAGGAAACAGCCGAGCCCCTCTGATAAATCCTTGCTCAGTCACCTTTCGCTTGGCCAGCTCCTCCATCTTCTCCACTGTGAGCTGCAGTTTCTTCCTCTCCTGCTCCAGCTCTCGGACTCTCTTCTGCAGCTTCATGAATAGACTAATATCCATAGCGGCCTTGTCTATCCCCATCTCCTGCAGACCAGCATGATCAGAGCTAGCATTTAACACACATCTCTGAACACTGAATCATCCAATTGTACTCTTCATGAAGTGACTCAGATTTAAAACCAATGTTTTTCTTTCATTCAGATCACATCAGCTTAAAAGAATAACTGGATATCCTGCAGCAACACGTTTGAACAAACTTGCATGCACTTCTGGAGAATCTATAATCACACTTCACCCACATCATTACTGATTTAAATCCCGTTAGTTAAACGTCACTGTGTTGAACGCCCTCTATTTTTCCTTCTCTGGCTCTTTACTTGTGTGATCTGATGCCTGCTCTGTGCAGACAAAGTACAAACTGACTCACGTCCACCAGCTGAATGGAGTCCTCGGTGTCTCCAATCTCTGAGGTGGAGACAGACGGGTAATTAGAGTCCGACTCCAGGCTGCTCTGATTGGACGGATTCCTCGTGTGGCCAGGCTGGAACTGCAGGATGACAGGAGGAAGAAAGTCACCACAGATGTACTAAAGTCGCTGATATAAAAGGGGAAAATATAGACTGAAGGTCTAGGAAGAAAAACTAGAATAAACCATAAACTTTTAGAAAACTTCAGAAGTTCTCAGATATAAAAATTCTGTGAACATCTGAGTTCAGATGCTGTGACGATTGTGTCGTAGAGCTGTAGGTTTTTAAGTCTGTTTCAACTCTAACCTTTCCCGATGCCTTCATCCTTCTGGTACTAACAGTTTTCTTACTGATAAGATCAGACTGCAAAGGACACCTTGATTCGTTTATCCACTACATCTGTGCAGGGATCAACCTTACAGTGTTCTCATTGCAATTTAACACTTTTACTTAACAAAATATTTTTTCTTTTCATAATGGTGTTATTAGAGTGTTCTCATGAAGCCTTTAGGTCCCAGGATATTTTTCTGAATGAAACAAAAACTGAATATGATCAGTTAGATCTCCACAGATGTGAGCACCGAACTGAACAACATCCAGCTCTCTGCTTCAAACACACTCGGAAGAACTGTGAAATATCAGCCTTTTTTTTGTTTGAAAGAAAGAAAAAGATATTTTCACTTCTCCTAATTCAGAACTCTAAACCAGAGAATGACTAAAGGACTGCACCATGACCTGGAGTTCATTGTTGCCCTCCAAATATAAACGTCAGTGTGTGAGTGTGTTTGTGATGACGTCTCTCTGAGGTCAGGAGGTCACCTTGTTGAGCGACATCTCCTCCTTCAGGTTGTCATATCTCTGCTCCAGCCTGGAGAACTCTTTGAGGAGGTTCTGGTAGCGCTCCCTCTCCTTATCCAGCTCCGACTGCAGAGACACACTGCTCACTTCCTCTGAAACACACACACATCCATCAATGAACGGCAGCTTTCAGTGAGTAAAGCTGTAAACTCTTCACAGCCTGCTTCACTTCAAAAGAAGCTAAAAAAAAGTTCCCAAACATGAAGGTGCTAAATTCACGTCGATGATAAAGCTCTGAACTGTAACTGAATGTTCTAATTGTGCTTGCTTTAAGTTCTATAAATGCTCCATAAGAAGATGCACTTAAACACTTTCCATTTAAAACCAGGAAGGAAAAGTCCATCACCAGGACACAGCAGGTCCATCACGAGAACACGCTGAGCTGTAGAGCTTCCTGTGGTTTCAGCAGTAATCGCTCCACTTGGATAAAAACAAACAAAACTAAATAACTAAGTAAATAAATTTGATGCGTCTCCAGTCTGGTTTGTTTTTCCTGCACTGCTCGCTGCCACCAGGCTGAAAGAACTCATTTAGTGAAAGTACGAATGGAAATAAACTGTGAAGACTGTTTGATTGAAGTGTGTGTGTGTGTGTGTGTGTGTGTGTGTGTGTGTGTGTGTGTGTGTGTCCGTCCGTGTGTGTGTGTGTAATTATACATCTTTGTGAGGACCAAAAATGTGACTGTTACTATACTTGTCGTGTCGGGCATTTTTGAGACTCAAAATGTGGTTTTAGTCTCAGGGTTACAGTTAAGTTTAGGCTAACCATAACCTGGGTTAGTCATTCATTTTTTGATGGTTAGGGAAAGAATTTTTGTCAATTAGATGTCCTCACTAAGACTTACAAGGCAAGTTGTGTGTGTGTGTGTGTGTGTTATAGTCATCTTTTAGTCTCTGAAACTTTTCGATTTTATTCTGCTTCCAGTCGGACTTTCTGACTGAATTCACCTTCGTTCCTACTTCCTGTTTCCATTGGCCACTGAGAAGCAAGCCTGCAGGAAGGCATCAATAAATCATTGTTCTCAGCTTAAAGACAGTCACAGAGGAAAAGTGACTCACTCGGTCTGACTCGTGTTTCCTGTTGCAGACAGAGAGACTCTTGTGTGAGTGTGTCGCTTGCACACATCTTAATCCAGGTGTGTTTTCCAGGTAACCTACCTTCTGTGCTCTTTGAGTGCTGCAGGATGCGTCGGTTCATTTCCTCCTTCTCGCTCTTCAGCAGGGAGTTTTCTCTCTCCAGCTCATCCACCCTCTGAAACACACACACACACACACACACACACACACACACACACACACACACACACACACACACACACACACACACACACACACACACACGTCGCTGTGTGCCGGTTTTACAACAGTAACACTGAATCAGTTTAAACACCTCTGATGAGTCAAAGCTGGAACAGCGAGCACACTGAAATCCCACCGAGGAAACTTTTCTGCAGTGAATACTTTTACTTTTAATACTCGAAGTAATATTTTCTGATCATATTCATATAATTTGACTTTCACTGCAGGACATTTTCTTGATGAGAGTATTTTTACTGTGCAGTATGAGCACTTTTACTGCAGCAAAGCCTCTGAATTCAAAACCCTGCTCCTCACATACAAGGTCTTAAATAATCAGGCCCCATCTTATCTTAATGGCCTTGTAGTACCATATCACCCTATTAGAGCACTTGGCTCTTGCTCTGCAGGCCTACTTGTTGTTCCTAGAGTATTTAAAAGTAGAATGGGAGGCAGAGCCTTCAGTTTTCAGGCCCCTCTTCTGTGGAACCAGCTTCCAGTTTGGATTCGGGAGACAGACACTATCTCTACTTTTAAGATTAGGCTTAAAACTTTCCTTTTTGCTAAAGCATATAGTTAGGGCTGGACCAGGTGACCCTGAATCCTCCCTTAGTTATGCTGCAATAGACGTAGGCTGCCGGGGGATTCCCACGATGCATTGAGTTTTTCCTTTTCAGTCACCTTTCTCACTCACTATGTATTAATAGACCTCTCTGCATTGAATCATATCTGTTATTAACCTCTGTCTCTCTTCCACAGCACGTCTTTATCCTGTCTTCCTTCTCTCACCCCAACCGGTCGCAGCAGATGGCCGCCCCTCCCTGAGCCTGGTTCTGCCGGAGGTTTCTTCCTGTTAAAAGGGAGTTTTTCCTTCCACTGTCGCCAAAGTGCTTGCTCATAGGGGTCATATGATTGTTGGATTTTCTCTGTATCTATGAAGCGCCTTGAGGCGACTTATGTTGTGATTTGGCGCTATATAAATAAAACTGAATTGAATTGAATTGAAAATAGCCTGACAGGACGTGTGCTGTGTCTGTCGGTCTGTCTCCCTCACCCACCTGTGTGAGGTCCATCTTCTCGTTGATATGCTCCTCCTCCATCTTGTTCCTCAGGGCATGCGCCTCCTCCAGCTCCTTCCTCAAGTGCTCCAGCTCTTCCTCCAGCGACCTCACCTGGCCTCCGTCCTCCTGCTCACTGCGCAGCAGCTCCAGCTGCTTCTGCAGCTTGTTCACTTCTGAGCCCAGAGAGGTGTTTACCGTCTGTAGCTGCTCGTTCTGAGTGCGGAGCTCTTTGGACTGAAGCAGGTGAAGCAGCAGTGAGGTTATCATGAACATCACAGCCTTTGTTACAAAGTACTTCATCATAACTCATATTTATTGTTGCTAATCAACGACTTAGACCTGGATCGTTATATCCTATTCATCAACATGTTCGCTGCACACAGGAGCTCACACGTGATGATTATTAAAGGATTATAGTAGAAAAAGAAAAATAATTGTATTTAACAGACTTTTCTCCTGTGTGCTGATTTTAGATTAAATTATTTAATAAGCTCTTTACCCAAAATAACTTCACTGGAATCATGTGAATCTACTTCTGCTCATCTTTTTGCATAGTTTTAAAACATGATTCAGAGCATCTGACATTAGTCCGCATGACTGTTCACAGACAAAAAAAATAAAAGTAAAAAGCATTTTAAAGCAGTATCACTGCACAGGAGAGGACATGAGTGGAAACATTATGTTCGAGTTGTTTGGAGAAACGCTGTCTGTGTGTAGTCACGTAAACATAACGTCACAGATCGACTCTGATCTATAGGTTTAATTAAACAGGTGCAGTTTGTGAACTTGCACCTACACTTGCTTGTCACTAGGGGGAGATGTGGTGTACTCTGATATACTGTCCACTGAAGACACTTAACAGATCTTAGAGGAAGCTGGTGTTGTGTGGGACAGTTCAAAGTCTTATAAAAACCCACTTTTGTATCATCAATACACATTTCTGTTTATCTACCATCTCTTCACTCCGACGACCTAAACTAAAATGACCTTTATGCACCCCATGTTCACATTATTACAGAAGCAGCGTGGACACCAACTCCTGAAGCTGCTGCTCAGCTAAACCTTTAGAAGACTGAATATTATCAAATAGGACGACCTCCATTTTAATACAACTCGGCATGTTTTATTGTGTGTAATTAACAGACTAGCTTCAGAATAAAAACACGCTTGGTGGCGTACCTGGTCGTCCATTTTCCTCTGCAGCTGAACGATCTTGTTCTCCATGCCCGTGTTGAGCTTCTTCAGGTGCTCGGCAGAGCGAGCTTCGATCTTCAGCTGCTTCAGCTGCCGTTTGGCGTGCATGCGTCTGAAGGCGCACTGGATGGTGATGGCGGCGTTGCGTGCTCGTCTAAACTGCTTCCTCTGCATCCAGCCGCGTACATTCTTCTGGATGATCATCGCCTTGTGATGCAGCAGGAACTGTAGAAGCAGATGTAGGAGATGGTTGGAGGACTAACAGCACGCACAGACACACAAATCCATTCACTCAGAGCGTCCGCCTGACCACATTCCTCCTTTAACTTTGTTTCCAGTTTAATGAGACATCAAAAACTGAGCCGCTTCTTCCCAAAGAATCGGCTTTAAGACTCGAAGTTCATACAGAGTAAAGAACGGGACAGAAAGTCCAACGATTACATAACAAACACAGAAATTTATGAACACATGTCCCAGCTCCATTCAGGGGTTTCCTGTAAAGAGGAACTTCTCTTTCATCCACAGCTGCTTCATGAGGCACTTAAAAGCTGCATGTTTAACACTTAACATCCATGTTTGTAAGAGCAGATTTTCATATTTCTGCTCACGGCTTCATGAAAACTTCAGTAAAGTTAGACTCAGTGTTTAATGAAGCTGTTTTTATTTTATGCAGATTTCTGTCTCTGTGCTTGTTTATTTGCTTTTTTTTTCTAACACTGCAGTTTTGTCGCTGCTAACACCGAGCAGTGATGGCGGCTGTACCTCTTGGTAAATCCTGCGGGTGAACATCCCTTTGGCGTACGCCTGGATGGTGACCACTGCGCGTCTCACTCTCAGAAACTCGCGTCTCTCTCTCACCATGCGGCACTGCTTCTGACAGATGATGGCCGCTCGTGTCTGACGCAGGAAGTCAGCGTACCTGCAGGACGAACATTCATTAACATCACTACATGATTCGCTGCAATGTGACCTTAAACATGGCGGCGGTGAAGTTTCAATTTCTGATTGGCTGACACAAAGAACTTGAAAATAAAGAAGCATGGATTAATTTGATCTTTACACAGTAAATTAAAACAGTTTAATTCTGGATGATCATTAATTATATCGGCTGATTGAAGTTTAGCTCATTTTCTAGCCTCTTCACTGAATCACTCACAGAGTTCCTGGTGTGGGCTCACCTGCGGGCCATGTATCCTCGGCCGTATCTCTGCAGAGTGACGGCCATCTTGCGGATCTTGCGGTATCGGATCCTCTGCAACCAGCCTCGAACCGTCTTCTGGATCTTGATGCAGGCCGAGCGGAACCTGTCAGTCCGGAGCTTCTCCAAGTACGCAACCTGACCCGCTCGGAAGAAGATCTTTGTCTTTCCAAACTGGAACATGTCAGGCTCCTGAAAGACGGATTTAAACGAGGGTGAGGCCGATTAAAGTAATTACCAAATAAATAAATGTGTGAGACATGTGGAAGCACACACGAAAGAATCCCTCTACATGAAATGCAGACAAGTTTAATGACATTTTCGTTAAAGTTGACCTAAAAATTTGGTGTGCAAAAAGTGAATAAAAGCTTTACAAACAACAAATTATCAAGCGTTGAAACAGAAAGTTTATGTTATATTTAAACTTACAGGCTCATTTTTATTTAGGTAGAAGTAATGTGTTTCCCACCTTGATCAGCGTCTCCAGCAGGTTTTTACACACCAGCTTCTTGTCTGCTGTCGTCATGTCTGATTTCTTCATCAGGACTCGATACCTGTTGAAGAAATCTGGGTACGTCCACCTGGAGGAGCGACACACGACACATGCGGGCATCAGTTCTGTGAACTGTGATTTCACTTCACGTCGTGTTGGTTAAACTGTCAAAAACAAGAGTTCTGTTTCTCGTTCGCATGACTGGTTATTAGATTTCAGATCATTATGGCGGCACAGACTTCTCCTCAGGCCTCGAGGAAATGGAGCAGACAGACAAGCAGAGAGCTGCTGGATTTTCCTACCGCTCTGACCATGAAACTTAAACCAGGTGAGGGGTCACATGATTGAATGACAGCTGAGCTGGACTCACCTGGACGGATACCCGGCCGCGCTGATCCGGATCGTCTCCAGGACTCCACAGGCTCTGAGTTGCTGCACCGCTCGCCGCGAGTCAAACCTGCAAAACAAGAAACGCGTCAACCCCCCCAAAACAGAACGATTTTAAGTCCCGCAGCCCAAACTCTTCCTCTCACCTCATCCTCTTCATCGGGACGGCAGCAGAGTCAGCTCACAGCAGACTGAGTGAGTTGGTCAGCTGAGAGCCGAGTGGGAGTCAGACATGTGACTGAGGCGCTTTATTTAATTTCCCCGCGCTGACACAGAGCGGTTTGTGCTGAGCAGCATCAGCAGACACAAACACGATGACAGCTGACAACTGAACTTAGCTGAAAATGTTCACAGAAATGTGATTGTTTTCAGAAAAATAATAATAACACGGCTGTTTGTAGTCGGTCTGAATCCTAAAAATGAATCCTGTCTTTACTCAAATATAAACCAACATCGGCACAGTGCACAGAAGAACCTATTTTAAGATTAAGTGGAGAGGATTAACAGACTGCTACTACTTCTTCATCATCTACTATTACTACTACTTCTAGTAACAATAATAAGAATCTTTTGATGTAAACTATGCAGCATTAAGTTTGCGAATTAATTTGAACTGATGGACATCTTTTAAGTAAATTTGCATGTTTATTGTGAGGCACACGTGTTGTTCCTGGTGTGTTTGTGACTTGTAGGAAAACGTGCTTTAGGGGGAATCCCTTTGGTGTAAACATTCTGCGGCGCTGCTCGCTGTGACGGCCGTTAGTGAAACATTTATTTTTGAAGTGAGCTGTTGTGGAAGAATGCGGCTCGCTGCGTTTGGAGAGAGAGGAGCAGTTTGGCTACTGGTTTGGTTCAGGCTGTTTTTTGGGTTTGTTTTTTTTTTGCTTGAATAAATAAGAATTTAGTTGGAAGTGGATCCTGTTTGAGCAGGTCGATGTTCTCACGCCCATGCAGAACCTGTTCGTCATGACCTCTGTGATATCAGACCTGCTCGTCCTGTTGGGCTGCGCCACAATGAACTCGTCAGCATTTTGAACTGACTCAGCGTGTACAACCTCAGATCACTTCCTTTGATTCAAATAGAAAACGAGACGAGCTGACTCACGAGAAGGCCTCTTTGAAGTCGTTGGGTTTGATGCAGCGCACGTAGTGAGGAGTCGTAGCATTCAGGGTGTCCATGAGCAGATGCAGAGACGTCCGGAACTAAAAACAGAGAAATGTGTGAGAACAGCAGCAGGAAGCACCACAATGCTCCTGAAAGTCCTGCAGAGCTCACCTGATGCCCCACCGTCTTCCTGTGCTCTTTGTTCGGAGCTTTGGGAACCGTCTTCAGCGCTCGGACATTCACTCTGGCAGACTTTGCAGGTGTCACGTCGTCTTTGTCACTAAACAGGTCGGCGACGAGCTGAAACTGAGGGGAAGAAAAAAAAAGAAAAGGAGGTCAAAGAAATGTGACATGCATAATCTTAAGATTCAGGTTCACCAGTTCATCAGAAACAAGCAAATTGAATTCCTGCTACACTAACAAACCCAGATAAAGGTCAAATAAACAAGCAGGAAGGACAAAATGATCATTTGTCATCACAAATTACAAAAATGTGCAAAATGTGCAGCTTAAACAGATGACGCGGCGCTGGAGTCTCTGATCTCACAGGAAGAAAGTCCTGGTTCTGGTTCGTACCTGGCTGGCCTTCAGGATGTTGATCTGCTCCTCGTAGACGGTGTCTCTGTTCTTTTCCAGGAAGCCATCACACTGATACTCCACCTGCAGAGAGGGCAAGCTGAGCGTCAACCATCAGATGAAGATAAGCAGATGGACTCAGACTGTAAACTCACAAACAAACGCAAAACGCATATCTAGATATTTCATAGTGATCATGATCAAGGCTTTATTTAGTCATTCTAAGCTTGACTGTAAGTGTGAAAGGAGACCTGCCCAGGGTGTATGCTGTCATGTATTTTAAAATACACCCTATTAGCCAAAAGGACCTTAATACGATTTCTCCAATTCTAGATCTGTCCAAGTGATGTAAATATGAAACTTTTCAATGTTTTTATAATGTGATAAACAGCTGGACCACAGCCTGAGGAGACTGTTTAAGGAATCCGCGTTCCTGTGAAGTGAAACCCTGAGGACATGAGAAGGACTCTTTTTAATACCCTCTGCAGGGGGTGAACGTCCTCGGCTTTAATCTGTCAGTGGAGACAACTCTGCCTTCAGATGATCACTTTCATTCATTTCCGCCCCCAGACTCTGGAAACTTTAAAGCGGACCTATTCTGCTTATTTTCAGCTCTGTTTTTCACTCTCGCTGACATCCTGTGAAGTTCTGTAAAACCAGTAAAAAGATCGGGTTTCCTCTGAGAGTACAGTGTTTGGATACTCAAACTCTGAACCTCATCAAACAGCTGGTGGAGGAGTCCTTGGCTCACCTTATCAGCGAAGTGTATGATAATGAAGGAGATGTTGGACATGCGAGGTTTCTGGAAGTGAGCGCTGCTGGAGTGCTTATTGTAGAGCTTCTGGGCCCAGTTCTGATCCGTCCCCTTTGGCACCTGAAACACAAACAGATTACACAACAGCTCATGGAGGAGATCTATTCAGGCTACCTGAGCGCTGAATTACACATTTACTTCCTCCTCCAGTGCTGTCCCACATTATCATCATAACTTCAAAGACAGAGAGAGGATGAATAAATCATCAGCTCTGATCTGAGAGATTTACACCAGATAAACACACAGATAAGCACCAGAGAGGTGCAAGAAAGTGCAGCACTCAGCAGAGTTTCCGACACTCAGTCTAAACACGGCAGCAGCTCGGGAAAACTGGAGCAGACATGAACCCCATTTCATCACAGCCCTAAGAGTTAGGGCCCGAGGATCATCAAACTCTAAATATTACAGGAAAGTTCTCCATCTTACATTTTCCACACAACCCATTAAAAAGGACAAAGTGTTTGCAAGCGCTCAAAAAAATAAGGCAAGAATAAGATTATAAGCAGATGTCTCACGTCTGTGGAAAAACGTTGTTTTTATGAGTGATGAGCTCAAACTTTCAATCTAAACAAAGCATATTTGATACATGAAACTAAGTTTCCGATTCCAGGACACGAAAATGAAGCCAGCATTGACGCCAAAAACCGCACATCCTCCAGTGTCCACTGGAGGCTCCAAAAGTGAACAGAAATCAACAGTTTTGATCGCTACGACTTATTTTTTAATAATAATAATAATAATAATAGATTGCATTTATATAACTTTTTTTCGAGACACTCAAAGCGCTTTACAATACCACTATTCATTCACTCTCACATTCACACACTGGTGGAGGCAAACCACAGTTGTAGCCACAGCTGCCCTGGGGCAGACTGACAGAAGCGAGGCTGCCATTTCACACCATCGGCCCCTCTGGCCAACACCAGTAGCTGGTAGGTGAAGTGTCTTGCCCAAGGACACAACGACCGAGACTGTCCGAGCCGGGGCTCGAACCGGCAACCTTCAGATTACAAGGCGAACTGCCAACTCTTGAGTCACGATCGCCCTTTTTCTCCTTCATAACAACTTTACAGGGAAATGGATGGGTGGAAATGGTTGGTTCATTTATAACTCACCTGTTTAAAGTTTGCACTATTAAATGCTGTCTGTAGTCGTTAGCTGTCTGTTATTCTTCACCTCAGCTAAATAGTCTCTGAACTGGACCTCTGGATTGTTTTTGTGCTGTTGGAGAGTTTTTGAAGAAGTTTGAACTCTTTATCGCTCTAGCACAAATGGTAACAGAGTTACGGTGACTTAAAGAGCCTGTATAAAACAGGCCAGCTACCAGGTGACGGTTTAAAAATAATTATCGGATCATTAATATGTAAGGAAGTCTGAAATTTAGTTCATGTGAGCGTAGCTCTAGGATTTCATTATTTACCGGCATTTGTGGATGCAACAACCAAGCTAGCAAGCTAGCTAGCATTAGCTTATAACTTAACATTTCCTTCTGGCTCCAAAAACCCGTTAATAGTGCCTTAATCCCCACGAGGTATCGAAACGGCATGTTTCACAAAAGTGCTTAGACAGTGTAAAATGCTGGATGGATAAACATTTTCTCAGCTTAATGAAGAAAATACTGAAATTCTTGTTTGTGCTCCGGAAAAGCATACAGCTCTAATACTGGACCCCTGATCTTGGTCCATTAGCCTTTTATGCCAAGTCTTCCATCAGGAATCCTCAGGGTAAATTTTGACTCTGGTTTTACTTCAGATGGTCACGTTCAGTCATTCATGTTTTTATCACTTAGTACTACTACTACCACTACAATATGTCCTAAGTAGTATTATCTCACAAGCAAAACTGGAAACTGTTATTCATGCTTTTGTTTTTTCAAGGTTGGATTACTTTAACTCATTATTCACCTGCTTAAACAAAGCATCACTGGAACATCTGCAGACTGTACAGAACACTGCTGCCAGACTTCTGACCAAACCACCAAAGTTTTGTCACGTCACACTGCTACTCGTCCAGCTCCAAAGTACGCGTCAAGATCTTGGTTCTCACTTATAGGCCTCTGAATGGTCAAGCACCAGCATACATCAAATAACTTTTACACCTGTATGTCTGTATGTATGTATGACTCTGGAAGGCTCTCCCCTTTAGTTTGAGTCTGCAGACTCTATTGAGCTTGTTAAAAAGCAAAGCAAAAAACTCATCTTTTTAAAATGGTTACTTTTTTTTGTTCAGCATCCAAAGACAACTTTGAAGGTTTTCCTTGATTCCATCCTTTAGTAGAGTCAACACAGCAGTTTTGCGTTCTTTTTGTGTTATAGTTTTATTGGTTTTGGAGAAAAGAACTTTAATGTCAAAATCACAAAAATATAATGTGTGTGACGGTCAGTCTTACTTTACACTCCTCGTCCAGCAGGTCCAGGATGCCGAGCCGAGCCTCGATCAGGTCGATACACGGCTGGTTATCAGCAAAATCGATCAGAGTCCAGGGGATCTGCTCCTTCATGTACTCCTCCTGCTCCAGCTTGAACACATGCTGAGGACGTAGGAGGATAACAGTTTGAATCAGTGAAATCCTGAGAGGTGTGGCAATTTACATTAAAGTTCATCAGAAAACTCACAGAGTTGAACTGCTGCTGGAGTTTCTCGTTGGCATAGTTGATGCAGAACTGCTCAAAGCTGTTCACCTCAAACGTCTCAAACCTGATGAAAAACCACAGACACCTTCTTATCCAGGTCAACAAAACAAACAACAGCAGGTGAAGCAGGTGGTTAGACGCAGGGCTTCGTACCCATAGATGTCAAGGACTCCGATGAAGGAGTGCTGCTTGGTGGACGTCTGCAGAGAAAGGTTAATGTGCTCTACGATCCAGTCGAACATGCGGGCGTAGATGTGCTTGGCGAGGGCGTCGCGGGCGTTGGTCGCCTGCTTGGTGGACATGGTCTTCACGTACGTCTCGGAGGTGGTGGCAAGCTTCCTGTGGCAGAGCCAGTGCTCCATCTGCTGCAGCTCCACACCCAGCAGGTTGCAGAAGTGCTGCAGGTGGACGTCCTTCCTCTGAAACACGAACAGAGTCAAAGTCAGAGCGTCGATAAAAGCTGAGAAGAGACTGAAAGAAAGGCCGTAGATGTACCGCAATGTGGCAGGACTCCCCGTCTCGGTCCGAGCAGATCTCGACGTTCCCAAGATGAAGGATGGACGCAATGACTTTAAAGATGCTGTTCTGACTGCTCTCCTTTATACCTGTAGATCAAAAACATGACTGAAGTGTCTGTTTATGGGAGTCACAGGAGGGCCAGCAGGTCTCTGTTAACGCTTCGCTGCATCTGAAACCAGCACATGGTGAAAGCTCGACCATCAGCGTCACACTACAACTGATCCAGAGTCTGAGTTCTTACTACGAGCATGGAGACGAAGAGCAGTTTTAAATTTAAAATCCTTTTACTTGTTTTTAATAGCAGAAAATGGTCTCATTGTCATGCATGCATCCCACATCTTAATGTTAAGATGAACCACCAAACATGGTGTTCGGGACAGACTCGTGACTCTTACCCAGCAACGTGAAGGCCTCTCTGGTCTTCTTAAAATCTTCGGCGTCATTCACGCCCTCGATGAAAATGTTTTCGCCTAGAGACGTGTACGTGAAATCCTCTGCACTGGCTGAGGGAGGAGAGAAAGAACCGATCATGAGACGAAAGTGAATATTTACAGGCAGAATAAATACTGACTGAACTTCCACAGCAGTGAGCTGAATCCTGGTAACATGAAGAAGCAGGAAAAGACTTCAACCTTAACTCTAAATAAATTTTTTTGTTCAGAGATGAAAAATGATCATTTTTAGACCAATAATCCTCAAACGATTTGACCCTGAGGCCGACTTAAAGAAGCGCAACTTTAGACTAATACTTTATCCCATTTAATAATAATCGTCCAACCTAAACACAGCTCCCAAACTTTTGACTCACTGAGGGCGAGGTCTTTGAACTCCGGTAAGCTGGCAGAGGCGCAGAGCTGGTAGAAGATGTGATAATTCCTCTCGTCCTCAGCCTGAGAAAGAAACAAACTCTTTACACAGATGAACCAATCAGGTTCAACCAAACATCCTGAGCGAGTCTGTGAGACTGACCTGAAACACGACGCGGGACTTTTCCAGCAGGTAGGTGCGCATGTTGGCACCGATGATGTGGTAATGTCTGTTAAAACCGATCTGGATGTACTTTCCAAAGCGGCTGCTGTTGTCATTGCGAGTGGTTTTTGCATTTCCAATCGCCTGATGGAAAAAGAGACAATATCATCCATGTTCTTTAAAACTGTGCAGCAGCTCCTGCTGCTGCATGGATGCAGATTCATTTCATGTGAAACAAGTCGCTGTTCTCCCCTCCGCAGCCAACTCCGGACTGCCTACAGCACGCTCCATCGAAGTTTTTGAGGTACAAAGTAGATTTTTCTCTACTTCTATTCTCTGGCGTACACCTGCTCAGTACTAAACCTCCAGGATATCGTTAAAAAAAAATACATTTATAAAAAAAAAAAAAAAAAAAAAAAAAAAAAAATTCTAGCAGGGGTTCAGAGATGCACACCAAGTCAAGGGAAATGGGCCAATTCACACAATTTTTTAAGGAGGTTTATTTAACCTGCAATTTGGCAATGGATATAAAAAGAAAATTAAAGTGCTGTTGGCATCGTAATATAATATGAAACAAGGCTCCGCCCACTCACCTCCATAATGGGACTGGACGCCAGAACTTTGTCCTCCACGTTGGTGTCGCTGGCTGAGCCGCCCACCGTGGCAAAGAACCGCATGGCGTACTTTGCAGAAACCGTCTTCCCTGCTCCGGATTCTCCGCTCACGATGATCGACTGATTCTTCTCATCTCTGACAAACACCACAGATGAAGAAAATGAACCACACCACCTCTATGGTCACAATGCAGGACTTTAATTCGTTCTACTAAAGTTAGCAGATGCTTGGCCCTGAGAGAACGATGAAGACTAACAACAATAACAATATTAACTGATGTAAATACTAAATTATTCACTTTTCCATTTGTTTATCAAAATATTTGGATTACAGTCTAACTTGTTTGCAAAATGCAACGATTTTAAGGTTTTTAGGCTTTTTTTTTTCTTCCTTTTTTGTTAAAATATTTAAACTTCTTTTTAAAAATTTCAGACTTGTCTTTATAAATATTAAAATGATTTCAATTATTGTAGTTAATGAATTTTAATTTCCAAAATATAAATCTAAAAATGATTAATTTCCTTTTTCTAAATATGCCATCAAAGCACAAATATATGTCTAAATACATAAATCTCACATTTAAAAATGTGAATCTATAACTTTATGTACATAGATATGAATCCTTCAGGTGTTTTCCAAGAATCACAACAAATAATTTTTATTGTGCAAACTGGACAAACACTGAAAACACAGTTAACTGAGACTGTTGGGAAGAAATATTAGAGGATTCAAACAAGTTTAACCATAAACCCCAATCTGATTTTCATTTTGTACAATAAATTATATTTGTGATAATACATCCACTTACATTAGATAACATGAATATTATCCAATGTTTCTGATGAGAACCTCTCAAGCAGCTCATATGAGTTCTCCTGAAACTGCTCCAAGTCACAAAAATACTGGAAGTAAATTATAAAATGAAATTATCTGCATCCTTTACTTGTGCTCTTAGTTTGAAGGTTATGTAACAAAGAAGAAACTGTCCCTCTCTCAGACGGTTGTTAAAGTATTGTGAGTATGCCGCTTCCTTAAAATGAATAAATAATTCATTGAGATTCAGCTGAGAGTAGAATCGGCTAAGATGTTTCACAGCAGCTCTGGAAACACTCTGCAGATGCGAGTTTCACATGGATGCGAGTTTCACATGGATGCGAGTTTCACATGGATGCGAGTTTCACATGGATGCGAGTTCCACATGGATGCGAGTTCCACATGGATGCGAGTTTCACATGGATGCGAGTTTTTCATGGTGTTTCACCATCTCTGCGATAAACTCAGCAGATACAAGTAGTTTAAAGAGAGCGTTTCCTCCCACGTATCTCGCCACACTAACCAGCTGCTTCGCACACGCTGCTGAGCAGAGGCGTGACTGTAATTAGACTCCATCACAGAGAAAGTGGGAGTTTTTCCTCAGCTCTGTAATCATCGTGCTCCTCCAGCATCAAACCGCAAATGTCACAGAATAGGACGCACTCGTGCCGACGACCAATAAGAACCCACAGTCTCACCTGGCCATCTGCTTGTAGGCCTCTTCGGCCACAGCAAATATGTGAGGGTCCATGTCGCCCATGTTCTGCCCGCTGTACGCATTGATCACCTCCTCACCATAAATCTGCAGCTGCTCGTACGGGTTGATCGCCACCAGCACGATCCCTAAAGAACACACGACATAATGTTAAATGAACAAGAATAATCACACAGTGAGTAAAAATATGAACAAAGTGTTGATCTATAAAAGGCAAATAATAAATACATGAAACTGAAAAAAAACAACTCTTTAATTAATAAAAAAAAAAATAATGAAATACTAATATTACATATATATATACGTATATGTGTATACACACATATATATACACACACACACACACACACACACACACACACACACACACATATACAAATATAAATATATAAAAACTATGAAGTTAGTCAACAGATAATGACAATAATTTTTAATGACAATTCAATAAAATTTATAAATATTTGAATAAACAGACAAAATAAGCGTGAAGGTAAAAAACATTGAAGAAATGAAAGAAATTATGTGATATTAAATGTAGGCAAAAGGAGAAAATAGGAGATATACAAAAGTAATAATAAAATAGTGAAATGGAATAAATAAACATCTAGTAACACAAATAAATATTTCTATGATATTTCTAATAATCCTGCACTAAGTGAACCACAGGAAGTGCTGACTGACCACAGTATGTGTAGATGGCGTTGGACTCAAGGAATCGCACTCGCAGGTTGTGCAGCACGGCGGGTTCGTGCAGGTAGCTGAGCGCCGTGAGGTCATTCTCCCCCACCAGGATGTCAGGGTTACGCAGGAAAGGAAGAGGGTTACTCTTCGGTCCCACGGGGTACTCCAGAGGCTGAAACGGGATCAATACGCCATCAAGACACAATCAATACGTCGTCACACAGACTCAGATTGTCCCACAGACACTGAAGCCTGACAGAGGAGGTATCCTTTAAGTCCTGACTCCCTCAGACCCTGCAGGCTCTCCTGTTACAGATGTGTCACCGACACACAGCAGGACAAACATCAACATCTGGACAGAAACCAGAAACTTCGCCTCTGCCTTCAACCATCAAACACTTCATGATGTGACATCAGAACATGAGGTAAAAACGACGTTGATGGAAATTTTAAAAAGTACTTCTGAAAGAAAAACACGACTCTTTTAATCGGATTTAAGAAACAAATTTAAGATTTAGTGCGATTTTTAAAACACACACCTAAAGAGGAACTCAGTGGAGAGATGCAGCAGACTTGATGAATGCACCTGTGTGCTGTTCTCTCCTGATTAACACTCAGTAATGACTGATCATGTTCCTGATCAGCTGATCATTCTGGGCTGAACTCTGATAGATTTACTCATCAGCAGCTTCTTATGGATAAACCACTATGACAGCATCATCTACACAGTGAACCGTAACTGTGCTGTGATCAGTTTGACCCAACATGATTTATTTACTTGAAAATTGTATAATTTGAACAAATATTTGTTTCCGTCCTCATTTTCTCCCCTTGTGAAATGTGAAAATTTACGAAATTAATCATGTAAACTTATTTTATGTACAAAATGCATTAATCCATATACGCTCCTCTCTGATCAGCGGAGAAGCACACAGTCTGATGTAAATGAGCTGAAGAGCAGCTGAACATTGTGACAAGCAGGAGTGCAGATTTGTTTTCCGATTCCTGCTGAACACTCAAACTGGCAGCGGCACATCTGGATCTGTCTGTTACCGTTTCATCCTCGAGTTTCAGCCGAAGGACCGGGTCTCCTTCTTTGTAGTCTTTGACGATCTCTGCAGCCTTCCAAACATCCTCCGTGTCCGGGATCCAGACCCGAGTGTACTGAAACACATGAAGAAGAAACACTTGAGTGCCAACGTTTCACTGCTCTCAGTCTCAGTTTAAACATCAGCTCTTCATGAGGGAGGAGACGACTGGACAGAGGCACGTTCATCAGCTTTAAACATGGTGACATGTTTGGGACAGACAAATGTGAGAACAAGCAGTGTAAATGTTTGACTTAAGCAGTGCGTGTACGTGAGTGTGGAGGATATGAACCTGCTGAGGGATAAACTCACAGATCCTGAACTCAGAAAAACAGAGTTTGAGAAAAGTGAAAAGATGGCTGAAGGTTAAAGCGCGGCCACTCCGAGGGCACGCGGCGTGATAACAGGGTCGTCTTTACCGTCAGTGTGAAGGAGCTTGTCGGGATTATCAGAAGTTCCTCCTGGACTTTTATCTGTTCCTGCAGATTAACACGTTTGCACTTCTGATCAAAGGAATCATTAACCGATTATCAGCTCTGTGGAAATTACCGCAGACGAGCTTTCATCTGAAATAATCCTGCAGAGGCATCATGACAGAGAGAGTAGCTCAGTCACATGACGGCATGAGACACCTGAACATACCTGGGTCTTTTATTAGAAGTAAAATCATTACTTTAGAAGAACAGACTCTGGGGACCGTGCTTCACTTTCAGGAGGAAAATTAGTTCTTGTCCTACTTTTGGGAACTCTTGGATGTTTTCCTGTTGGTTTGAAGCTGCTGAGCTTCTCCTCCTTTTGTTCCTCACAGACTGTCAGTGAGCTCCTCCCTGTGATGAGATTCATGATTCACACAGACTCATAGCAGTAGAGGAATCGTAGCGCCACCCCACCTTCAGTCTGGTGACTCCTCTGCCTCTTTGTCAGTGCAGCAGAGGTAAAGGTGAAGCAGAGTTCTCTCTCTAGACAAAGACCACCGAGCAGAACGACCCAGGTAACCCTGTAAAACCTGAACCATGAAACCAGCACCAGCACATGTATTAGTTATGATAGGCGTTTGTGCTACGATCATAATCTGACATACACCAATCCAAATGTTTCCAGATCCAGGCTGGTACCTGGGCTTCAGGTAAACTATGATCCTGAGCGCTGATCTGATATTAGAATCAGAATCTGTCTTCATGTGTAAGATGACATCAGGTCCACTTAAAGCTGGATCAGATATAACCAGCACAGATCAGCGTCTGTGTTTATTATGCACATTTCAGGACCGCTGACGCAGCACCGGGTCAGCGCTGCTTCCCTCTGTTTGTTTGAAATCTTTTCAGACTTGACTGCAAACAGTGTTCATGACTGAGAAACTGCTGATGCTCACCTGTTTCTCTCTGTCTCTGTTTTGTTTGCATCATTACAGAAACACTGTGTTTTTTAAACTCCCTGCAGCTCCAGTCTGTGTGTGAGGAGGTGCATCACTGTGAGCCTGAGGGCAGGGAAAGAAAAGCTAAAGTTCCTGTAAGTAACACAGGACTGTTGGGTTGTTGTATCCTCAGACAGCTGATGAAAACACATCAAGGTTTAATCAGCCCACAGCTGCACAGATGTGTTAGTGCTGATCAGACTGACATCAGGTACAAACACGTTCCTGAGCAGATCTTGTCCCTGTCTGCCTCTTTGACCCTCTGAACCCAGTGGACCTGCAGCATGACCAGCCCAATATCGTCGTTTATGGTTTGTGTTTGTTCCTGTTCTTCATTCATCTGCAGCAATATGGTGTCACTTCCTCCTCTCAACAGACAAACTCAGAAAAATAAAGGAAGCAACATCACAGCATCTGCCTGCATGCTGAGTCCATTCAAACAATCTGAGGTCACTGTGACAGAAACTAATGAGAGCCGAGGACAAACATTCCCACATTACATCACTGCCTTCAATGCAAATGCACTGCTGTGCACCAGAAGCTCGTTTCCATACAGTTTGCCTGTGTGACAGACAGGAATCACATGAGGTCACATGACCCGAAGCCACTGAAACACTCATGAGAGCAGCCCGGGAGTTCAGCTCTACTGAAACACAGCATACATTAGCACAGAGAGCACGGGGAGGCAAACTGATGGAAATCTCTGACGCCAGGCAGAAGGCAAATCAGTCCTGATGACATCATGAATATGTACATTACATAATTGAAGCACGCTCTGGTTACTTTCCATAGAAACAGGTGGAGTCAACATGTTCCCAGACATCCCACACAATCCCCACACAACATGTTCAAGGTTCCTGTACAGCGAGCTCCTGCCGTCTCCTGGCAGGTAAACCTGTAACTGTGGATCAGGCAGGTAAACCTGTAACTGTGGATCAGTCCATGTTCAAAGCATGAAGCACACCGCAGGTGCACATGTGGAGAATTGACCCTGTGCACGAGAAAATGCTAACTTCCTGGTTTGAGACCGGATGTGGGGTTGTGCATTTCCGGTAGCTTTACTTTGCGGTCAATCGCTACTGCGAACATATACTCCAAAATCATGTCCAAAACTCGAAAACGGAAAGATCGCGTTAAGTTACAAAGAGCAGAAGGTGGGAACACTCACCACTGTTGTGTCATAAAAAATCTAATGATCAATTTTGACGTTTAAAGAGTTTAGATCGATCAGTTGTTTACATCACTCAACACAAGCAGAACTGCATCACTGCAGCAGAAGACACATCGTCCACATTCAGAAGCACATCTCTGTATAGTGACTGGTCTCATGATTTAAACAGGCAAATGTTCAGCGTTCAAACTACAGCTGGAGAATAGTCAAACCAGATGTTTCCCCCATTATGTCGAGATCAGCTAGTCAAGTACACACCTACACAGCATGTTAACAAACCGTGAAAAAAGCCACACAAAAAATGAATGATTGCTGGTAAGGGTTTCTATACATTAGTATGTACGAAGGGTATGTTGTGACTTACCTTCAAAATTACAGCGGTCCCTCGCTATAACGCGGTTCACCTTTCACCTGCTGTTTCGGATTTTTTAGTGCAAGTTTGCATGCTTATTTTTTTTTACGTCACTTGTGTCCTGCGTCCTGATCGCTGCAGATGATCTCCTCCGTGACGTCTCTCCTGTACAGTACAGAATGCTGCATCGATCGCTAGCAGTGTGACTCTGAAGTGTAGTACTGTATGTCCACGATGTCCACCAAACGTTTTGCACCGTCAAAAAATAAAATTGGGTACTTGATTTCACCTATCGCTGGTTTTTAGAACATAACACCCGCGATAAACGAGGGACAGCTGAGAAATATAACATTTGAATCCATTTTCTCTTTTGCTCTGAGGCGCGGGGAAAAATCGATGAACATCATTTACAGATATATTGGGTAAATGCCCAACACATCTACAGAAATGTAGATCGCCGCTTGATTCATTCATTTGCTTAACTTGTTTTGGACCATAAACCAGGCGCCGGAAACAAAGCTCCCCACAGGAGTTTCCGCACCGGAAGTAGCATGCTAACGTGCACATAGACAATAACATGCAGGAAGTTCTGTAGCCCAACGTTTTCTGCCCACACTGGAGAGCCATCTTGGGGTTAAATGACATCAAAAAATGATTATTATGAGAAGCAGCAGATTTGTATAAGAGCTTACAGTTCTCACTGCTGTGATTTCAAAGCCAGCAGAAACACTGTCCTCGCATCCTGGAGCTCTGATCTTCATCTGTGTGGCAACAGGCAGGTAAACTGTGCTTCAAAGAACCGAAACCAGCACAAAAATGTAGATTCAGGCTTTTTCAGCTCTCCCTAAACAAACACAGTTTCTCCTGCTCTCCGTCACCACATGCTTCTCAAACCGGAATACTATTACACACCATTTAAAGCCTCCCGAGACTGGGCAGGTTAACATTTCAACTGAAATCAGAACCACAAATAGAGAAAAACACCAGGACATTAAAATTCATTACAATGCTGCTATTTTAACGTGAAGTAGTCCCATTATGCTTATGCTCCTGTTCTTTATTCTTGGACCCTACTAAATGAGATTTTCATGAGTCACAGTTCAAAATATCAGAATCAGAAAGAGTTTTATTGCCAAATGTTGAGCAGGTTTACAACATTAGGAAATTGCTGCGGTGCTTAGTGCAAACATGCTGTCATATAACGCTTAAATAGACATGAAAATAAGAATTAAAAGTGCTAAGTAGATAGATATATACATGAGTGCAGGTGGTGAACAGTGCCAAACATGGAATGATGCAATAAATATCTGATACTGAGTAGATGGAGCAGCCTGTCAGTTTGACTTCAGTCTGAAACAAACTGTCTCTGCTGCTTAAACAGAGAGTGTGAACAGCAAATGGGCGGAGCTTCTATACCTTCTCTATGACAGCATCCAGATCCAAGAGCAGTGAAAAACTGACAAATGAGATGATGATGATTATTATTAGCATTATCATCATCATTATAAACTTTGGTTTGTTTGATGTGAACAGGGTGTGACGTGTAACAGAATAACAGAAAGCTTCAGTCTGCAGACATTAACTGAAGGACGTCTGACACAAAGTATGCTGTGAGCTCATGTGTGATGGCATGATCTCTATCAAACAGTGTGTGAGTGCGGTGTGAGTAGTAAATGCGTGTGTGGTATGTGTACGCTGTAAGTTTATCTAGGACACCATCAGTAATTATCCAATGACTGAGAAGCATGAAGTCCACATGCACAGCATCTCAGCAGGAAACTCAGCCAGTAATGAGGACACGGACACACACACACACACACACACTTCTAAAGTTGATTTGTTGTTGTTGTTGTTGTTTTTCCTTCACGTCTCTGCACAGGCGAGCATGTCTTCAGCGGGGGAGGGGCTGTACATGTATGTGGACAGTTACTCATTGTTTGTCCTTTGAACTCTGATAAGTTTCAATTCATTCAGCCGAAAGTAACACAACATGACAATGAAGTGAAGAAGAGCAGCTTAAAAGCACGTCTCCACAGACCGAATCTGAATCGTTTTACCCCCCAAAAAGTCACTGATCAGGGCAGAGCTGAGCCGATTTGTGAAAACATTTTCTTCCCACCTCTACAAGTAATCTGTAAC